TCTGTCTATCTCTCTGGCAAGCACACGTGCCCTATAGCAAAAACAAAACAAAACAAAACAGAACAAAAACCCCAAAACCAAAAACAAAACCTGGGTGCACATGTGCTAGTGATCTGGACTGCTGAGGCTGAGGGTGGATCATGTCATTGAGACCCTGTTGGGAGTGCTGTCTCTCTGTTTCTTTTGTCCATGAAATAAATAAAACTAAATTTTTTTTTTTTTCCTGGGCCAGCCTCAGTGCAGTAGTTAAGTGCTGTGCATTGGGAGCTGGATTCCCCCATAGCCCACTGTAGTTCGAAAGCTGCCCGTGTCTGGGACACATGTGCTCGTGTGCCCCAAATCCTGACGCGATGAAGAAATGGAGGAAAAGGGCTGCAGTGTCTTTTCTTCTCCCTTTTCTCATAACTCTTTTTAAAATTTTTAATTTAATTTTATTTATTCATTTATTTATTTTAATTTGGACAGAGACACAGAGAGAGAGGAAAAGTGAGACAGCAAGCCACTAGGTCTGCGACTTCAACAGAGGTTGGCCATGTGGGAGTGCCCAGCACCTTAACCACCATGCCACCGGCTGACCCCATAACTCTTTGTATAATACCTCCTTGAAAATATTTTTCATATGGACTTTTACTAATTGTTTCTTTTTTTTTTTCCTTAAGAATTATTTATTTTGGGGCCGGCAGGCGGGATGGTGGTTATGGGCACTGGACTCCCACATGAGAGACCACGGTTCGAGTCCTGAACCATGAGGGTCTTCAAAAAAAAGTATGGAAAATATGTATTATAAAAAAACTACACATGGAGTTTTTTTTTTTTTTTTGAGAGATTTTTCGCTATAGGGCGTGTGCGCTCGCCAGACGGAGAGAGACATTAGAGACAGAAAGCGAGAAATCACCCCCCGGGGGGATGGTCATGCCACAATCCCTTCTCCTCCATTCTCCTCTCGGGATCTTGGGCATGCACGCACACGTGCCCGGCGTGAGTTTTAAGCCACCAGGTCCGGGACGCGAACCGCAGTCGACTACGTGGGAGTCCAGCGACATAGCCATTATGCTAACTGCTGGTTCTCTACTATACATGGATTTTAAAAAGATTTTTGCACCAAAATAAACTCATTTTTAATTAGTCAATTACTTAATTTTTAAATAATTATTTATTTAATTTTATTTGCTATCTTTTAAAAAATTTTTATTATTTGAACAGAGAGAGAGAGAAAGGAAAAATGAGAAAGCAAACCTCCAGGTTCAGGACTTGGACCACAGTCCACCATGTGAGTCTAGCATCTTAACCACCACATCACTTGCCAACTCTAATTTTTAAATTTATTATTATTATCATTATTTTTAAAATTGTATTCATTTATTTTATTTTACTGTATTTTATTTTGAATTTGACCAGAGAGAGACAAAGAGAGAGAAGGAAAGTGAGAAAGCAAGCTGCCAGGTCCAGAACTCGAACCGTGGTCAGCTATGTGGGATTCCAGTTGCCTTAACCACCATGCCACCTGCTGGCCCCATTATCATTATTTTTTAATTTGCTTTAGGGCACATGTGCTTATCAGAGAGAGACAGAGTGAGAAAGTGAGAAAGCAAGCCACCAGGTCCAGGACTCAAACTGCGGTCAGCCATGTGGGGATTCAGCACCTTAATCACCATGCCACTTGCCAGCCCCAAGAGATTTTTTTCTTTTTCTTCTTCTTTTTTTTTTTCTTTTTTTTTTTTTTTTTTTTTTTTTAAGAGAGATTTTTGCTATAGGACACGTATGCTTGCTTGCCAGAGAGACAGGAAGACAGAAAGCAAGATATTACCCCCCGGGGTAGGGTGGCCATGCTGCAACCCCTTCTCCTCCTTTCTCCTCTCAGGATTTTGGGCATGCGTGCACACGTGCCCAGCATGAGTTTTAAGCAACCAGGCCCAGGATTTGAATCAAGGTTGACTATGTGGGAGTCCAGCAATGTAACTGTTACACTACTTGCTGATCTTTTTTCTTTTTTTTTGGAGAGGTTTTCGCTATAGGGCACGTGCGCTCACCAGACAGACAGAGAGAGACATAGAGACAGAAAGCGAGAAATCATCCCCCAGGGAGGATGGTCACACCGCAATCCCTTCTCCTCCATTCTTCTCTTGGGATCTTGGGCACGCACGCACATGCACCCAGCATGAGTTTTAAGCCACCGGGTCTGGGACACGAACCGCGGTCGACTACGTGGGAGTCCAGCGACATAGCCATTATGCTAACTGCTGGTTCCCACTACTTGCTGATCTTGAGATAGTTTTTCCACGGGGCAAGAAATCACCCCCCAGGAGGGATGGGTACACCACAATCCCTTTTCCTCCATTCTCTTGGGACTTGGGGCATTCATGCACATCTTTTCCTCCATTCTCTTGGGATTTGAGGCATTCATGCACATATTCCTGGTGTGTTTCAAGCCATCAGGTCCGGGACTTGAACTGTGGTTGACCACGTAGGAGTCCAGCACCTTAACCACTATGTCACCTGCTGGTCTCCCCATTGTCTGTTCTTTTATTATTTTAATTTGAAATTTTTTAAAGTATTATTTTATTCAGTTTTATTTATTTATTTTTACTTGACCAGAGAGGGACAGAAAGAGAGAGAGAAAGAGAGAGAGAGAGAGAGAGAAAGCTGCCAAGTTGGGGACTCGAACCATGGTCGGCCATGTGGGAGTTCAACGCCCTTAACCACCATACCTATTTTTAATTTTTTTGTCCTTTCTTGAAGAACTTAAAATTTGCTTTTAATTTTATTAGTAAAACTCTTTTCCCCTAAATCCCAGGCTTTCTCATTGATAGGCAGAAATCATAAGGCGAGGTATTTTGTCTGAAACCATCTTCACACCATCGCAAACCTTTAATAGAAACCTAGATGTTTAAGTAGGAATGGAAAGCTTCACTATCAAAAAACCTCAGAATATGAGAAGGATATTGCTGCATACCGTGCCAAGGGCAAAAGTGAAGCAGGAAAACAGGGCCCCGGCAGGCCAACAGGCTCAAAGAAGAAGAATGAACCAGAAGATGAGGAAGAGGACGAAGAGGAAGAGGAAGAAGAAGATGAGGAGGAAGAAGATGAAGATGAAGAATAAAAAGAATAAATCCTGTAATGATGTGTGTGGAATGTGTGTGTATGCTCAGGCAATTGTTTTGCAAAGAATGTGAATTCAAGTGCAGCTCAATATTAGCTTCAGTATAAAAACTGTACAGATTTTTGTATAGCTGATAAGATTCTTTGTAGAGGAAATACTTTTTTAAGAATGCAGGTTGTAGCTTTTTTTTTTTCAGGTTGTAGCTTTTTGAGGGGCTACTGCATACAGTTAGATTTTATAGCTTCTGATGTTGAATGTTCCTTAATATTTAATGGTTTAATTTCTTGACTTGTGTGTAGTAGCACAGCACACTCATAGGAATTGGTATCAATAGTAAATTTTGGGTTTTTTAGGATGTTGCATTTTGTGTTTTTTTTTTCAATTTTGTAATAAAATTATGTATATTAAAAAAAACCTCAGAACATTAGAAGTTTTAGAAGTCTATTTTTATTATATATTTTTATAATGGGGCTTTAATTAATATAATAATAATTAGCCAACAAAAATAATCAACCCTGCAGAAATAATAATTATGGTTTATTACTAAGCATGGAATTGCATGACCAGGCCCAGACAAAGACAAGCGTGTCTGTCTGGGTGCTGAGATACAGTGGTTCCTTTCAGATTGTTTTGAGAACAGGAGAGCTGTCAATCAGAATAAGAAGCTCTTCACATCAGCCTGGCCCAAATAGGTGGGACAGCTGGAAAAGGAGGCCAATAGGTTATGGGTGAGTTTGAAATTCTTAAATTTGTATTATAATTGGTTAAAGAAAAACACAGATCTCTTTTCCAGAAGGAAATCAGGACCTTTAAGAGATAAGGCTTACTATGCATCATAAAAACACTATGCCTGGGACAGGATGTAGCATCCCCACAGTCAAGGGTTTATTAATGTTTGTAGGCCTGAATCTTCCAGGCCCCCTGGAGACATTTGGAAATAAGAAAAAGTAGTCAGAATTCCATCCTCAGACTAAACTATCAAACTAGATGGTTAACAAGAGTCAGATTTCACATGTCCAACCCTTCAGTTCCAATCCTATCTGCCGGAAATCCCAATTGGACAGAAATGGAGGAGAGAGGATGCTACATGACCTTGAACCACTGCGGGTGGGGGAGAAGTGTTGCTTTTCTCACTTTCTCTTTCTAGCTAGAGCACCTGCCCTCCGGTAAATTTTTAAAAAGAAAAAAAAAAAGATTAACACTAAACAAGAATGGCTGAGGACCACAAGCAATCCACATAGGGAGAATGTACTTACTGCCTGTTGTTCCATATATGGTTCCTTTTGTGTTTTTTTAAAAATTCCTTAATTTTTTTTACTTATTTTTTTGTTTTACTTGATTTTATACTATAATAAAATACACAGGATAAAACAACAGCAACCATTTTTATGTGCACAGTTCAACGGCGTTGGGTACATTCACACTGGTCAACTCATCTACATGATTCATCTTCTTCCCTTCAGTTTATTTTCAGACTCACCACTAGGGGGCAAGCCAAGATTACACATCATCCTCACTCCCCCCACGCCCCCTCGCCCACGCATGCGCGTCTCACCTGCGGGAAGGTGGCGGGGGCGGGGCCGAGG